TAATCGACTCGGCCGCCCAGATCATTACCAGGGATGTCTCATGCTCGGTGTGGCTTACCTCACTAGACTTAAAATATGCGTTCAGTCAGATCAAGATTTCAAAGGCGACGAGTAGCCATTGTAACTTCAATATTATTTGTGGGAAATCGACAGGAACTTACCAATTCAACTCTGGGTTTTACGGTTTAACGGATCTGCCGTCCGAGTTTCAAAAGGCGATGGATTGCACGCTGCAAAGAATCCCGGAAGCTATTTGTTATTCAGCCGACATTCTTGTGGTCTCTAATAGGACACTGTCAAAAAACAATTGACATCGTCCATGAAGTCCGATCTCGTTTAGATGAAGGTTTTGCTTTGAAGTTATCTAATTGTGAGTTCGCAGTGGATAAGCTAAACGGCTGGGGTTCGATATCCATTCAACGGGTTACTCCCCAAAATTTTCCAAGATTGAGGTAGTCAAGGATCTGGCCGCTCCCAGGACAATAAGCAGCTACGATCCTTCATGGGTACCCTAAAGCACTTCCAAAAGTTTATGCTCGATCTTCACAATCTTACGGCGAGTTTCGCGAATCTTTAAAGCTCTACAATAAAAGGAAGTTCACCTGGAATGTGTGTCAAAAAGCTGCGTTTGGGAAAATTTTGAACCTCATTGCAGAAATTACCTATTTGTATCATTATGACCCTGCAAAGAATACTCGTGTAGACTGTGACGCAAGCCACAGAGGACTTGGAGCATGTCTTGAACAAGAAACAGATACAGGTTTGTAGGTTCCTATTTCGTTTGCTTCGCGATTTCTTAACTCAGTGGAACTTAAATCTAGTACGAATGAACTTGAACTACTAGCAGTGGTCTGGGCGTGTGAAATTTTTCGCATATATATACTCGATAATGGGTTTGAGATGCTCACGGACCACAAAGCCATAATTTCGACCCTAAAAGAACACAAAGTAAATAAACCATATCAATCCCGTTCAACATGTTGGGCGGATCGGCTATTACCGTTCGACTATGAGATCAGGCATGTGCCCGGTTCTACTCTAGGTATGGCTGACCATCTTTCCCAAAATCCTACGTTCGAAACACCTCCCAGTTCAGTTTATGGCGAGTTAATCGTCATAAAAACAATTGAAAACTCAACTCAGCCATGTAACTTCATAAGGGTGGACGCCGCGATGTCAATGGGCTCCGCCGATAGCAGATTTGTTTCTAGCATATCGGCACATGCTTCTACTTCCATAACTCGGTCAAGTCACAACGGTTGTATCAGCGGTAAGCGGCATGAGGGCGACAAATTAAACGTCGTCCAACAAATTTAAGTCTAATGTCGTCCAATCAAATCCACCCAGATATTCCGGCGCCCGAGTTGTGTCGCATTCTTACGGGAAATTCGGTGGTTTAGAACCGCGAGAGGTGAAATTAATTTGACAAGTAATTTCATCCAATCAGCGTAGATTGGTTTCACGTTATTTGCCGCCACAAGAGTTCTGTATTTTGACGGAAAAATCCGACCAATCACGTTTGAGCTTGAACTCAAGTCATTCGCCGCACGAGGGATGCACAAAATTGACGGGTCGCATTAACCAATCAGATTCAAGTATGCAAATTGCAACCAGTCAATATCGTTTCCAGTTATTTTCAAATCAGTTTCGCCTTTTTGTTCACTCGAATTCAGTTGTCCAATCAAACTTCAATGAGCTCTCCTTTAAATGCATCCGCCTTACTAGATAATACGGCGATCCGAAAGATCATATTAGACTTGGTGGAAAATTTTCCGCCAGGACCTAGCAACGGCACACCGGCTCCTACTACTGTGGAGATGGCCCCTATCAACACAGTACGCTCTCGCCCTGAACTCAGACTCAACCGGCTCCAATATCTCAAAGTCAAGCTATGAGCAATCGCTCAGGACCTCCCAGAGAACTCCGCTCCAGTCGAATGCAAGTTTTATTGAAAAGTGCCGGCAAAAACGACTTTCTAACCTGGTTTGTCAGCTACGCGCTAGAGAGGGAGTGTGTGCCATGAAAACAAGGCCGTTTGTCTCACAGGACAAAAAGGAGATTGTGGGTCTACCCAGTCTGTTCGACATCGTTGCAGGGTTTACGGAAGAAGACGAGTTCCTTGGACCGATGAAGAGAGCAGTCTTGCATAATGATGTCCAAACCTTCTCCAAACAAGGCCTTTACATCGCCCAGTTCTGGCCAATAGCGTCGGTGGGGGACAATTGCATACTCATTGACAATAAGTTGACGATACCGTTTAAAATGCGTGCCGCGATTTTGACACGGCTGCACCGATCTCATCACGAACAACCGGCCTTACCTGAACCTGCAGATTGTCGAGAAGTGCCAAATGTGCATGGAATGCACGAAGTTTGGTAAGAACCTTAAGTCGTCTAAAAACAGCTGATACTTCGCTCCCGCTTCCGGCTCTCTCCTCTACTAACGAGGAATTACAATTAGACTTTGCGGGCCCGCTGCGGGACGACAAAAGGAAGAAGGTTTATTATCTTGGTAGCCGTAGATCGGTCCTCAAACTTCTCGTCCGTTCTAACTAAAATACAGGTTCCAAAAGATTGTCTAGTTCCTAGAAGCATATACGTATGCACGGCATACCAAAATCTATTCGCACAGATCGTGGCTCCGGGTTTAAGAGCGCAGTGCTAAAGAACTTTTGCAATAACTTGGGGATCGATCATGTATTTTGTCCAGTCGGGGATCATCGTGGCTGTGGGTTAGTGGAACGGACAATTCAGACAATGAAACGTAAGCTGGGTACTGTAGCGTTTAGCCCACAATACAAGAGTCTTAAGCATGTCCTTCATACGAGCTTGGATGACCTCAGGAAATCCAAACACGCGCCTCTTAATAAATCTCCTTATTAACAAAAGAGAGTTATTGTGCATTTCGACCGTAAGCCGAATACGGAACTTTCTTTGACCAGGAATAAGATTCTTTAAATACTTCAGATCAAAGTATCCTCGCTCGGAGCCTCCGGAAGATAGACATAGCCAGGACTACAGCCGTGACAGAGTGAAGGTGGTAAAGCGTGGTTCACTCAGCCAAGATATGGCTCCGCATTTCAAAAAGGTGGTCGCTGGTCAAAAGATAGCTGATACCCAACAATACAAGACCCTCAAAGATCTCGCCCTAGCCACTCGGTGGAGTCAGTTGAAGCGAAATAGCAATGTGGAGACGGGGCGCAGATGTAATTGCCAACGCCCTCAAATCTGGTCTCAGTAAGAGTACCCTGAGATTCTACGACTGTGATGCCGATGCTCCCAACAGAGAATCTTTGATCTGGCCAGGCCCGTCGTGCCCAAGGCCTACCGTTGAAACAAAAAGAACAGCAGCCTCCCCACAAGGAGTCAGGGCCGGCCAGAGCTCGCTTCCGAGGAAAATTGCGCCAAAAGGCCCGACTTCTATGCCAACTCCGAGATGCCCTATTTCGATAGTGCCAGCACCACACAAACGAACAGTGGAACCGCCTGTGGTTTTCTTGACCGGCTCGGATACTCAGACAGATATACTCACCTAGGAGGTCTCCTCGGACTATGTCAACCCCTAGTCGGGCAGTTAGGGTCAGCTCAGCTCCTCTCCTATTACCTGCGGCACAAGACGTACTTCAAACGCCACCGACTCCTCTGTACTCGAATCTGCCTTCGGAATCGCCTATGGGGGATCTTGACGTGTCGAAAAGTTCTGTTGCCACTTTGCCAGCTACCGACTCCGCACGAACGAGAACACCGTCACTTCGATCCCGGTACGCAACCACGGCAGTTTCAAACACCCCAGCGGCCACTCCGGTTCCCAACTTAAAGACTTCAGGGGACGCGAAGTCGGATCCCGCTCCTTCAGGCAGCGCTACTAGACCCGAGCCACCACAATCCGCGGCACAGGAAGACATCGACTCGCGAACGTCTTCCTCTTTGAGTGTCAGGACAGAACAGGAAGGCTTCAGCCAGATACGGAAGCCCAGATCGTCATTCCGTTAAAGAAGTGGAAGAATCCGCTGCCTTTTCTCCATTGCCCGCTCCAGATGCGGATAATTCTCCATAAGTCTCCGAAGGGAATAGTTTTCAAAGTTTAACTTCGTGACAACCATCATAAACTTTCTGGCTAAAATTCTCTACAAACTTGTCTGTATCTTAAATTTTGAGTCTCTAAATGTCAAGTTTTTGTTTCTCTGCTTTATTTCTATTGCCGCCTAAGTGGCTTCATTGTTTAATCTTTTGAGAAAATCTTTACGTTTTAAGGTTTTTTTGTGCCCTCGGGTATGTCATGCCACGTATATACTATATACTATATATTATGTCCTTACGTTGCATCCCTTGTTGCATTTTCTGCAGTGACGACAAGGTCGCCCACCAGTCGTGGTAAGTTATTTCACACGGTGTTAAACTTGAAATCATCTGTCTGCTTATCGGCATACGAATCAGACCTATCCTCTTTTAAGTTAGATTAACAAACTTAAAACTCTTTTCTTTTTATTTGTCCAAAACGCTTTGTATAAAAAGTTAATTCATCTTTTCGGACTAGATAAATCTACTTCCAAGTACATATATCAGACGTACCATATATACTTAATTTAAACGTCTCATTTTACCGAGTTTTATCAGTCGAGGTCGGTTAATGTCAGTTATATTAATTGTTTTTTTTTCACTCTGAATGTAATTTTTGAGCTTTGATATTATAAGTACATGCGCGCGAGAATGGGGGGGGGGGGCGGAGAGTAGAGATTGCTCATTTGATCCGAGAGCAATTGGTCCAAAGTTTCCCTTTTTTTCAGAAGAGTTTACTCGGAGTAGTGAAATTCCTATCTATTTCTGTTGCATTTCAACGCATTTTTTAGATTGTTACTTCATTGTATTCTCCTTCGCCGCTTTAAGAAAATGATTTATTGAAAAAATCCCGATCTATTAGTTGGCGTTCTTAGATTAATGTGGTCGGAACACGCTGCGCTATTCGTACAAGAACCGGCTATCCTTGCTTCTTATTTTTAGGAGATCTACCAGGACAGAGAGAGCTTCAACAAACAGGTGTTCGAGACTGCCTCGGCTGACTTGGCCTCAATGGGAATGGTGGTCATCTCATACACCATACACGAGATCAAAGACTCATTCGTAAGCTGTTTCTCTATTAACATTTTATACCGAAAACTTTACTGATCCAGCTGCAGTCAGGCAAGTTGTTTCATCGCTGCATATGAACAAAAACTACTTGACCATACTCAGAATTCGGATCTACTTAAAAATCTCCCCCTTTTCAGAAAAGGGGGACGGAGAGATTGTAAGTAGATTAAGTTAGTCGAATTTTCGACCAATCAGAATGCAGAAAATGTATAATTCTCAATACAAAGCTCTAGCGCTAATTTACTGTATTTATTCATAGAAGCGGAGATCCTTAAGTAGATACCATAGGGGGGTATTGTTAAGTATATCCCAGAATTCTCCGTTTGTTCTTTTTTCCCCTCTAAGGCGTCTGTTATACTTCTCAAACTGCTTAACATGAACGAATAAATAACACTTTTTCATTTGCGAAGCAATGTGTATTAGTACGAACTTTTTTTCAACCGAAGTCGCAAATATTGGTGCCAATTTTGGGGCACTTTTACAGCTTTTTCATAGCATCATGTGATTTGACATTTGAATACTTATAAGTTAATAAAGTTGATGTATTTTAATTCATCAAGTGAACCGAAACAAGTGATTTGTTTCAAACAACATACAATAATGAAAACCCGATTTTAGAAATTTTCTAACCCAATATATCTCGCTATTTTTTGAAATGCATTACTAGTGTGGATTTAGTGTGGATGCCTTCAGTTTGTTATATTCCAACTTATCACTGGCAAAATTGAGTCTATTTGTATTTGGTGCCCAGTTTTACTGAATTGCATTGGCAATTTATTAGCATATGTAGCTGCTTTATTCGTGACTAGTGTTTGTTGGTTGTTGAGCTTGCGTGGCTGAGGGAATAATGAGACTCAAATTCTCTTGATTGCAGTTGGTCGCAGATTCGAATCCTACACGTAGACGAGTTTTTGCTAATTCGAAGCTTATTTATACTTTGTCTTATTTAACTTGATAGAGATGCTTTTTGGTATTGTTCTCGCAAGGGGGCTATTCTCATGCGCGAATGGGCGAAAAAACTAGTGGGCGAAAGACCGAAAACAAAAATGGCTGAAAGTCAGTTTTCAAAAAGAAGCAATTGCCATTCAATTTAAATGAATTGAATGAAGCAATTTTTTGCTTCTTTCATAGCGAAACCCTTGAAAATATAAAGTCTATTTCAATTCGGCGGCGGTCAGTGACATTTTCAAAATTGTGCATATTTCTGCCGTTTCTATATTCGGCCAATATCAGTGTTCAGTCCCTGGAAATGTTTACTTTCTTTCTAAGTTTTAGATTGCTGAAATCTGATTGGCTGATTTTTATTTTCGCGCTTTCGGTCCTTCGCGTATGAGGGATTCCACCTTATCGCAAGTATTGCGAAATGCAGCTCCGCCTCTGTGTAGATAGTTACAAATTTAATTTAACATCGTTCAAAGTAAGTCAGAGAAACATTCAGAGCTAATCCGTTTCAGTCGTTCATCAAATTTTGATTGTTTGCTCAATAAAATAAAGGGGTATAGGGCGACGTGCCGACGGTAATTCAAGCCGAGGGGACTTCAGGACGAAATTTAAACTTTACACGCACCTTAAAACACTATTTTATCATCGAAAAAGCGTTGCTTTTCATTTAGGCAACTTTAGTTCAAGCGTTATTCATGACAATGCGCCATTTGTGATTGGGATCCGTTAACAACATCAGCCGGTTTTTCAAATACTTAAAGTAAAAACATAAAAAACGCAAGCGTATTTTATTTTTCAACTTTCCTAAACATCATTTGGAGGCTTAAGTTTTATGAAAACGCCAATAACTAGTAATTCAGAAATTATTCAAAAATGTTCTCAAATTAATCATATTTCTTTTTATAAGAAAATATTCGGCTTGAAGTCCCTAATGTTACAATTCGGCTCGAAGTCCCGTCGGCTTGATGTCCGGCAACCAAAATAAAGTACCCACAATAACTCAGATATGTCATGCTTCTAAATCCTGTGAAGCTTCTAAGTGCTCCATCATATATTTATGGGGATCTGATTTTAGTTTCTTAAGTATTAGTCTTTGTAATATGAGTCTATTAATCATGATTTTGAAACATGTACTTTTCTAAATGAATTTAAATAAGTTTCCAGCTGTATGTGGGTTATGCTTTGTTTTCAAGTGGAAGTGCTATTTTTGACCTCATGCTTTGGATTTTGTGAGCTCACAACGCATAATAAGAAGCAAAAAAAGAACCGGCAGAGTTAATTAAAAAGTCAGAGTTCATGTCTCAAGTTTGTCTGAAACCTCTAAATTTCATGCCCATTTTTTTAAAATTGGAAAGATTGCTCTTTTGAAGAGTCGATGAACGTTGTAATTACTCTTGTATAGGTCTTGGAGATTTGTTTTTTTTCAGGACTGTTTTGTTCAGGCTTAAATTTATTTTTTATCGGTTTGACTTTCGATTTATTTTTAAGTTCAGTTCATTTCCTGTGTTAAAAGGAAGGCAAACTCCACTATCCAAGAGCAAAAGTGAAAAAGTTTTAGTAAACGTGATCGGCTTCTTATTTCGAAAGTGGAATTCAGTTTTCAGATTTCCCAGCAAAAATAAAAAATTTACCAGTTGATCCAGTTTTCTCATATTGGGTTAATTTTATCAAAAATGTCCATTATAACTGGTTAAAGAAATTCAAAGAACTTCAAGGCCATGTTTTTATATTCGAATGTAGTTTTTTCAAAGATTTTTTCGAAACAAATTTTGTTTGTTTTGTGTTCTGTATATTCGCATCTATTGATTCCTTTCCAGCTGTCTGTTGGCTAATGCAATGAACTTTATCTATTCCAGCGGATGCAATTTTATTGAAGAGCACATGGTTTTTGACTTTCTGTTCACTCATGTGAATTCAAACAAAATTATGTATCAATGAAAGTAAAAAAAAAGCTGTTTTATCTTAGTGTTGAAATTTTGTTATTTCATTAACATCTGAATGAAAAATTTTTAACTCGAGCTTCTTTTGTAGAATAATAATGAAAAAGAACAGTTTTGGCTATTTAAGCAGCTTTGCTGCTATTTATGTTTTTATTTTAAAAAATTTGCTCGACATAGCTCTAGAGTCGATGAACGGTGAGAAGACTTATAAAGCTCTCGGACGTTTTTTTTTTGCTTTGTGTTCTGGGGAAGTCTTAAAATTATTTCACATTCAAGTTTGATTTTTCATGGTTTGACTTCTGATTTCTTTTTAAGTTCAGTTCATTTTCTTTGTTAAAATGAAATTGAAACCAAACTGTGATATTGAACAACAAAATTTTACACCAAAACTTCAAGTTTTGAAAGTGGATTTTTAGTTTTCAGATTTCAAAAAGTGTCAATCATAAATTCTTTTCGAATTTCAAAGAATTTTATGGCCCTATTTTTTAATTCGAAATTCAAAAGTTGGATTTTTTCTGTCGAAATTCAAAAGTTGGATTGCTATCATTGACTTTTTTCTAACTATCTGTATGTTTTGTTGTTTATACATACTCGAGTCCATTTTTTTCGAGGCTTTTAAATTTGTACTACTGCTAATTTTGAAATTTTTGTCTAGTCTTTGGCTAGTGAAAACAAGGTAAATGTAGATTGGATATTCGAATTCCATCTAATGCAAATTGTAGTTCTACGTTTCAATTATTCCTTTTTTGAGCAATTTTAGAGTTGTTCGGTTCTGCGTAATTTAGTTACCCGTTTTCGTTTTGGCAGTTTGGCTCTCAGAGTGCGCTTTTAAAATACAGATTTCAAGCCAGTCATTTCTAAGAGATAAAATTCTTTTCTATCACTGTTCGGAGAGACTCCATTTTGATCAATTCACCTTTAATGCTTTTGGAGCTTTTAAATTCAGTTTCCAAGTGGAGCTCTTCAAGATATGAATTTTAAATACCGTTAGGATTGTAGTTTCAAAATTGAGTTCAATCTTAACTGTACCCATTTGACAAAAATTGCGGCTGGACTCTTGATTTGTTTTTAATTTCAGTTCATTTCCTTTTTAAAAGGAAGGCATACTTCACTATCGAACAGAAAATGTGTAAAGGTCACGAAAAACGTGATCGACTTCTAGTTTCGAAAGTTGAATTTAAATTTCAGATGTCCCAGCGAAATAAAAAATTATCTATTGATCCAGTTTTCTCAAATTGGGTCGAATTTATCGTAAAAGTGCCGACATCACTTCTTTTAGAAATTCAAAGAGCTTTAAGGGCATCATTTTTTTTTCAAATCTCAACTTTCGAATTCAGAAAAAAAATTGATGCCCTTAAACAAGTTGTTATCAACTTGTTCAGATTTTTTTCAAAAAAAAAATGTTTTTTTTTGTTTACTTCAGTTCATTGACTCTTTTCCAACTGTCTGTTAGCTATTTTGCTTATTGTGAATTGACGAAGAGCTATAAGATGATATAATTGTTTATTAAAACATTCAAATCTCTTCAAACTGTTAAGGATTTTTGTAAAGAAACTTGTCATATTAGCTATCTATTTTTCCAATGAAAGTCACACGTTTCATTGAACAGCTTTGTAAAATTGCTCAGTGATTGCTAGCAACATGGGTTAACTAATGGGCTCTTAATTCATGCGCATTTATCGATGCCGCTTGTTTTTATCTCGTATGCAAATGATAGCCGTTCTATATAAGATTCTTTAATCTTGTACAAATATTGAACTTTCGTCAAAATTACCAATGAAAAGATTAAATTTTTAGATAAAGATTAAATTTAAATATTTTTTCTAACATTTTTTATTTTTTACTCTTTCGATTAGCAAGCGTTATCAAACGAGAATTTAGACTTTTTTCGGCATAACAACTTGTTTAACAGAATCAATTGTATCCTTTTTCATAATGAATTCCAATTTAATGCGTTCCCGGCCAACTTGATCTGGAGGTAACGAATGTTCCTGGGACGGCAAAGGTCCTGGGTTTGAATCTGACCAGGACCTATTTTTCAATATTCTGTTTTCAATAAAATAGTCGCTCATCTGTTGTCAGCTTAGCTGCCACATCTTGGAATCGAGTTTTTTTGCTGCGCGCTTTTTTTTAATGTTGCTTTTTGTGTTTGATTTACTCGTACAATTTGTAATTTTACTTACTTTGACTTCGTATTTCCTTAAATTTGTTTCGCTGAAAGAATTGCTCGGCCTATTTTTTTATCGGCTTAATTGCCTAATTTTCAAGGGAAACACAAGTTTAACTCTCCCTTCCGCGCTTTTCAAGTTGGCTGTATGTTTACCAATCGGTTTGTTGAAATTTCTTTTTCCTTATGGAAAATTGCTTCCAAATTATTGGAAAGTTTTTAATTTTTCTCAGAAACTTCAACTGAATTTCAAAAAAGAGTAGCAATTGAAAGACCGCCTCGCCTACTGTCTTGTGTGCCTGCATACCTCCCTAGAGTCTCTTTTTACTTGACCCCTCTGTCTAGAGGCTTCGAAAAAATTTGTGGGGGTAATATTTGACCCAAATTTTTGAGTTTTTCGTTTTGTCGAAAACTACCCCTCTCAAATCTGAATTTTTGGTTTCAATGAATAGAACGGTTTTGAAAAGTTTCCTTTATAAGCGATTACGCCCGAAATTCTCTGACACCAAAATTTATGAGCCGCGGAAATTTTGACTTTTTGACCGTTTTTTTAATTTTTCGTCCTTCTCGAGGACTACCCTCCCAAGTCTGAGATTCGGGTTTCAATAGTTTTTACAGGTTGCGTGAATCCCTTCTGCATAAGCAGCTACGCCCTATATTTAACACAAAAACGTATGATTTTCGGAAATATCACATTTTTGATTTTACGGTTTTTAGACTTTTCTCGCCAACTATCCTGCCAAATCTGATATCATAGATTTAATCGAAACAACAGGTTGTTGAAAGCTTATCTTTACAATAAGCTATACCCAGTTTGATTAAGAAAAAAAATTGTGGCCTTCAAACAAAACAAAGTTTTACAGTTTTTGGAAAACTTATTGACTTTACGCGAAAACTACCATGCCAATTCTCAGGTTGTGTTCAATCTAGAAACCCGGCGTTGGTATTTTTTTCCGCTTAAGGGCCACAACCTGCTTTTTGCAGAAAAACCTATAGGATTATGGAAAGTCTGTAAACCTTTTTTGAACTTTCGACTGTTTTTCAGACTTTTTGATTTTTCTTCTTAATTACTTAATCAAATCTGAGATGAAAAATTAAATTGAAAGAACCGGTTGCGATATTGTTCCTGCATAAGCGGTGAACTTTTAGGTTTTTAAAGAGAAATGATATCTTCTTGAGTGACTTGAATATCTAAAATTTTTTTACTCTTCTCATTTATTTCAGAAAAACAACTAAGATTGTGGGCAAAGTCCAACTTATGAAATCTCATTTTTCGTGCCTAGTTTTTTTTCGTCACCGAGTTTTTTTTTCAACATATAAAATTTTTTTGTTTGTTTTGTATCACAAGTTGTGCGAAGCTCCGCTTTGCCTCTGTGTTTGGAAAGTTTGGCTGATATACAAGTTGGCTTAAACTTGCAAAAAAAAACATTTTGAGATGCTTCTGAAGTTTGATTGGCTAGTTTTAGGGGGAAATTTCTTGCTAATCGGATGGAAGCAAAATAGTTTCAGTTCAATATGTTGAAATTTTTATTGTTAGGCATGAATAATGATAAGTATAAAGACCCTTCATTTGTAATATTGACGATACTACTAAACGTTTTCATCGATTATCCCATAAAAAATCTTTTTTTCTGCTCTTGGACCTTTTCGACTTTTAAACGCTTTCTGCTCTTAGGCGATTCCGTTTTTTTGCTCTGCCTCCTTCATTGAACTATGATTTATCGCTTCTAAATGTCGTGTTGATTTTTTTTACAAGAGTTTTAAAATTGGTTCACGCTCAGATTTGATTTTTCGCGGTTTGAATTTTGATTTATCAATGAAAATTAGTTTGCTATAAAGAAGATAAAAATCACGCGGTTCAACAACGGAAGTGAAAATGGCGTGGGATCTATTTAACAATCCTCCTATAGTGCCTACTAAAGAATTGCCACCCCTATAAATGAAAGAAGTAAGTTAGCACTTGAGAGTTCTGTTTATAACTCGAATTTGATGCAATCTGATTGGTCGAAAATTCGACTAAATTAATCTACGTAACAATTACCCCCTCCCTGTAAGGGGAGTGGTATGTGTTAAGTAGATCCATGGCGCGAAAAAAAAACATGTATGATCTATACCAGCGGAATAAACAATTTCTCAAACCGAGTTAATTTCATGAATATGGTGCTAATCATAAAAGATTCTATGAACTTCAAGATGGTCATTATTCCGAAATTTGAAAGCCGAAAGATGGTCAAAGAAGTATATTTTTTTCTCGTTTTCATGCGCTCATTGAAACTTTTCCAGCTGTCCGTTGGCTACGTTTCTTTGTCAAAACGTTTCTTCGTGATGTGTTGTATTTGCATCAATTTTTTTTTAATTGCAAAATTTTTCCGACCTAACTTTATATATTGAGTTAGCGTCTGAATTGATTCTAAACAATGATTTTTATCAATGATATGAGTTAGAGAAAAATATGTTTTAATTTAGGGCTACTTGAAAGCTCTGGGAATGAGCAGGACCGAAGAAGTGAGAAGAGACGCCAGGATCGGAGAGGCGCAGGCAAAGATGGAATCTGGAATCAAGGAGGCAGAAGCTACTCAAGAGAAGGAACAATCCAGGTACTACAACGAAGAAAAAATGGCAGAATCGAAGAGAACTTATGAGATTGAACAGGCCAAGTATAATGAGAAGATTTACGTGCAACAGGCCCAAGCTGACCTTGCTTACGATTTGCAGGTACGTAAACAGGACATCTTTTAATTGAATTTCAAGCAAAATAGGTCAAATATAACAAAAGCAAACGATGATGTAATTTATCTGGGTCACGTATTTCATACGCTTGTTCAATTTTTTCGTAATTTTCCTTGTCGAATAAAAGATCTACAGCTCGCGGTAGCCTGGGCGTAAGCATAGTTAGCCAAATTGCCTAGACGATAAATATGCTTCTGAAAGAACAGAAAGCGCGCAAAATTGATGAGATCATGTGGTCAGTTTTTTAAAATCAACAAGGAACGCAAACAAGTTGAACATTTATATATTTGTCTATTGTCTTAATTCTATAAACAAGGTGTGCGCTTGTGCTTGACAACAGTGTCATTTTTTTACCGGAAAAAAAATGAAAAACAAAAAGAAGATGAATGAATTGCTGCGTTCATTCCCGCTTAAGATTTCTCTTGTATTTCGTTTATATAGGTCTTGGTGATTTTTTTTGTTTTTTTTTCAGGAAAAAGTCTTAAAATGCTCTGATAACTACAGATGGGCATTCATACATGAATGCACTTAGGTAAATTTATGAATGCACTTAGGTAAATGTGCACCTTCTGAGTTCAGTTGAAATTCATCTACTGAAAGTTACCTAATTAGCACTCCAAATTCGAATGTGGAAATGGTGCGGAAAAATGTGAACAATTTCTAGTTTTGAATATGGAATTTAAATCTTAGGTTTCTAGCGGAATAAAAACTTTACCTATTGATCCAGTTTTCTCAAGCTGGGTTATTGTTATCAAGAAAGCGCCATTCATAAATTGTTATAGAAATTCAAAGAGCTTAAAGGGCATCAATTTTTTTTTGAAATTCGAAAGATGAGATTTTTTCATTTTCAGTGGTTTTTTGTTAACTTGCGTTCATTACTCTTTTCCAACTGCCAGTTGGCCATCTTTTACCTCTTGCTTCAACTTGGCGTGTATTACCTAGTCAGGATCAATTGAGCAATCTCCCTCCCCATTCTCGCGTGAACGGGGGAGCTAAATAGGTAGTTGACATGTTTATAACCACTTGAAAATAGTTTGAAAGATATGAAATCATGAACCAGATTCTCCAGCGAATTTGGAACGCCAAAAATTACAGTATCAAAGCTCATAAATTATATTCAGAGTGAAAAACGAATCAATAAAACTGAGGCACTTAAGCTTTTTTTATCCTAAAAGGATGCTATTGCGTACATTATTAACGTGCTGTAGAGAAACAAGGCTGGAGCACTAACCCTGGTAACTCGCTTTCCTCGATGAGACAATGGTCGTCCAAACAAAAATCTGCAAAACATTCTCATAAATTTCGATTTTTTTCTCAATACTCATAAACTTCAGTCGGTCAATTGATTGCGTGTTATGAACACAGCAACCATCTATTTGCGTTTGCTATCGTCTTTTTGCAGCGTCTTGCCGTTTTTGCTTGGGGGAGATAGCTCACTTGGTCATTATGGGGGGAAATGATCAAATGATCCACTAGTCATAAAAAAGTTATCCGTACAGATTTTTATAGTGTAAATAATTAAGTGATTTTCACCTATTTATGTCGTTATAAACGTTAAAAATTTGGTCACGCTCAGATTTGGTTTTTCGCGTTTTTTCTTTTGATTTTTTTTTGAAATTATCAGTACATTTCCTTTTTACAACAAAAGTGTAAAGGTCACAAAAAACGTGAATGTAATCTTGTTTCAAAAAGGGACTTGAATTTTTTTTTGAATTTCCAGTGCAATAAAAAAATACCTGGTGATCCAGTTTGCTCTAAATTGACAAGATAAATAAATGGGATGAGTGCGAATCATAAACAATTCTTGTAATTCAAAGAGCTTTAACGTGTTTTTGCGGCTAATTTTGACATGAAAAATTCGTTAAGTTCAAGTTTGGCATCTTCTTAAAGCTACAGGCCTTTAAGACTTGATTCGGATCCCAAAAAATCAATTAAGTTGTCTCTGTTCTGTTCTTATTTGTTCCGTTTTTCAGATTAAATGACACGCATTTTATACATGACACGATGAGAGACTAAACTCTCAATTTAATTCAATGCTACTTTGTATTCGTCTAGTTTTTTTGACTCTCTGTTGTTATTAGTTTTACTTTATTCAATAGCCTTTTACTGGAAAAAAAACTGCAGAAAGTAAGCAAAAACACGTTGATATCGACATTAAAAAGATCGAAGTTTCTGTCGTGATTCGATCGATATTTACAATTTTTTTGGATAAGCTTTGGTTAGAAAGTTTCTGCTTTTTAGTTTAAATTGGAGCGAGTAAAGCAAGCGACTATTTCGAATAGCTCTCAATTCAGCTATAAATATTTCGAATATAGCTGTGGAGAACTAGTTCCTGAAACTTATTCTAACCCTTCCCAGTACTAAGAGTGGCAAACGTTTTTGTTATTAATTTTGCTGGTATATCTACAGTCAACTTTAGACATTTCTTTGTTTGATTAACATCTTAAAAAAACCAAATTGAAGAATCATTGCTTATCTTTAGTTTCAGGTTTATCCAAAATATAAATTTTATTGACTTTCTATTTCTCTAAATAAGCAACACTCATGGTTATTACACTAACAAGCGTGCGATTGTTAGTGTTTTTGTACGAACCTTCTTTTTTGTTCATTAAAAGTGATAACTTATTAGGTGGCACTTGCTATAATTTCGATCTGTAGCTTTGGAAATTTGGCCAAAACGCGTCTTTTTAGTGCTTTAGGAGAGCTTCGCTCAAAAATCAATTTGGTCAACCTAAAAAAGGTCGTCAAAATTTTCGAACATTTTCGAAAATCCGCCCCTGCTATAAGGTGATGTTATCTGAGCTAAAAAAACGCAAAAGATGAAAATTTCAAAATCTTAGAAATCTTGGTTTTCTTGTTTTTGGTTTCCTGTAGATTGTTAACATTTTCCAACTCTACGATGGTTGTGCTTTGAAATTGAATTTTGTTATAGAATCGAAGGTACAAATGAACCCAAAGAAACTAAAATATCAAAACAACAAAATATGAAGCATTGTTCTATTTATATCAAAATTTACCTCCTATTCTAATATATCTCATTTGTTTTTTTTTTGCAATTCTATGTTGGCTATGTTTTGATCATGGGCATCGTTTTTTTTTGCCGGAGTATGTGTTTAGACATTTCAATAATCGAAACGGGCATGTGAAATAGATTATAATTCAAACTATGTTCCTAAGTTTTGTTTTAGGCTGCTATTCAGAGGCAGAAAATTATTGCTGAGGAAACTAAGATCAAGGAAATTGAAAGGAATCAACAGATAGCTATTCAAGAACAGGAGATCCTCCGAAGACAGAAGGAATTAGATGCTAAAGTGAAGCAACCTGCACTGGCCGAAAAGTACAAGAAAGAGCAGCTTGCAATTGGTCAGGCTACTATGATTATTAACGAGGCAGAAGCGGAGGCCTTGGCTATCAAGTTGAAGGGCGATGCTGAGGCTGCGGCTATCAACGCTAAAGCCAAAGCGGAGGCCGAACAGATGGCACTGAAGGCGAAGGCCTGGCAACAGTACCAGGACGCTGCTCTGGTCGACATGGTGTTGCAGGTGCTTCCCCAGATGGTGGCGGAGGTGGCCGCGCCCCTCACTGAGGGAACTAAGGGCATCAAGCTTGTGGCAACTGGAAGCGACGCCCAGATTGGAGCGGCAAAACTGACCGGTGAAGTGCTGGACATTGTGGAAAGACTCCCACAAGTTGTCAACAACATGACCGGAGTCGACTTGTCTAAAGTGAGTCTTAGCGTAAATATATTTCAATGAAGAAAGCAATACAAATGATTTACAATGATTTTTCTAATTTAAGGCTATCACGAAAAGATAGTGAAAGTAAGTTAAATGGTGTCACTGACCCGCTTCATAAAACTAACTGAACTCAAAGTCGAAACTTCGGTTAACTTATAATTGTGTACATCCAATATGTTTTGCATTGTTTCATCATCACCGCAATCATGTTTCGTTGTACCTTGCACGATGTTATGAGCTGTAGCCTGAAGCAAAGTTTTTGATTATATTAAAGTTTCTGAAAAATGGACTATGATAATAGAAAGCGAGGAGCGAGGTTGTTCGAAGGCTTAATGCGGGAAGTTAGTGTGAAGTTTTTTTTACATTTTGGTGGGAATGGGAAGAGCTTGCATGGCGTAAATCGTTTGAAGTTGACTTGAAAGTACAGTTTCTAATCAGCACCATCTACCAACTATAGCATGTCTTCAGGATTAGTTACATGGGATGGGCTTAATATTGTTAATGCGTATAATATTGTTGGTGTTATTGCATTTGCGTTGGCATGAACTTTCAAGTATAATCATTTTTGTAACTTATAGGCAAATTGTTCCCTGCTTGAAAACGAACTTATTTATTATTTATAAGTTAGAATCGGGAATGTTCATTATTCGCAACGAAGACTGATCTGGTTTTAGGCACTGGGAGCGAAAAGTCAAAGAGTGAAACGGACAAAATCTAGGGATAAACTCGGAGGAGACCCCTCGACACTTGACATCTAAAACAGAAATACTACCAGTCTTAAGACTGTGTTGCATAATATTGCAGAAAATTTCCTCGATTTTGATTCTATCCTACTTAATTGAACTTTTTGCAGTTGCGGATAATTTTGTAGTAGTTGGTGTTGCCTGTCCTCATTATTAGGCTTTTAAGTGGGATCTCTAACTATTTCCCCCACTCTATGTTACCTAGTTATGAATTCCTACCCCTATAAAGAACTAATTCGACGGTTAAGCATGCGTGAGTTTTGCAAAAGTGGAAAATAGTAACAGAGATCCCTTAAGTGTGCTGCTTTAAAACATGGCACTCTACATTGCATCAGTTCGAGCCAAAAACGCACCCTTTTTAATTTGAAGGCTGTATTGTCTCTCAATCTGAAATAATTCGTAATCAGACTTTACATGCATTGTAGGATTTATAAAATTTAGTGCTTTGTCTAGATGAGTTTGCAAATGTGTCATTTTATTCGATTTAAATTTTTGTTCATATCAATTAAATAATGTTCTTATTAATTTCTATCTAATTGTGTTGATTTTAGAAATAAAAAGGGACATTGAAATAGTTTGTCAAAAATGCTTTAGTTTCAATATCCCTTGAGGGTAAGGTGAGCATTCCAACTTAGCTTGAAAAGTTATACGAATGCCGCCCGTTGATGTTTGTATTATATGATCATCTCCAGATGTTGATTTCATTTCAAACCTGACTGCCTGCTCTGATTTTCACTAACCCTGATGATTAGATTTTCCTCTTTGTCTTGAATTATTTCGTATTCTATGAACTGTGATGCTCTTTTTCATAACAACATCATTCACCGCACCGGTAGATTTTGGGTTCTCTGTAATTATTTTGGAACCGGTTCAAATATAAAATCTAGACACCATTATTAGTTTTGGACATTTTTATGTGATTTTCTCAAACCCATAGATATCTCATGAAACCATTGGATGGTATATTGGAAAAGAGCTTCGTGTCATTCGATGTTGTCTTTTTCTTCACAGTTTCTGTAAATTATATTCTTAGATAATTAATTGATGAATTTAAGAATGAAAATTTTGTAAAACCTGTTCCCAAATTAAATAGCTACTATTCAAGAATTAACTTCTGTCAACTTCCCCGTTCTCTGTAAACAGCAACAAGCAGTGAGATTACCATTTGGGATGGTCAATGTTTAGTTTTATTTGGTAATTCACTGACAGAGAGTTGTAAACTAAGCTGAGGGAAAGATATAAACTATAAACCGCAAAGGGAAGAGAGGCAATAATAACTTGGTAACAGTGCAACACTTAAATTGATCGACAGACGAAACTGGAACGAGCATCAAATGACGGATACAGGTAAGCAGTAGACACATTTTTGAAAAATAAGCAATTACTTTAGGTAACAATTGAGCATGGTGGGTGAGATCTTAGTTATTGAGCTCCGGTGTTGTTAACAGAACCTATTTCATATGCCTAGAACTTAAAGCAGAAACCACATTTTGAGGAAAAATGTACCAAAAATGCGGGATCCGTTTGGCATTGCATAGTAGAAGCAAAACTATATTGCTTTAAGTTTCAAGATGCATAGGTTTCAGGTATAAAGCTTTGTTTCAGCTTAGTAATTTTTTTCATTTGCGAAAACAAAAACTAAATATTTTGCTCGGCGTTAATTTTATTGAAACGTTAAGTTTTTTACTGAAAATTTTACAAAACTTTTTGAGCCTACGAAAATTTATGTAGACCTAGTTTTTTTGTCAAAGTTTTTCTTTCGACGTCTATTGTTTTTTGTTTGTTTTGCATTACAAGTGATGCAAAGTTTTGCTACGGCATATGTTTTTTTTGCAATTAACTCATTTTAAGGACAGCCATGGTGACTTAAAAGTGGTGTAAAACAAAAAATTATTGACTGTAAAGGCCAATTGTTTGAATTATCTAAAAACAGCAGCTTTATTGTAAATTAACTTAGAGAAAAATTTTGAAATCATGACAGAAAAAGTCTTTAATACGATGTCTCACTCGATCCTATTTGATTTTTGCAAACTACCTAATTTTTTTTACAACAGACTAGCGCAATTATGTTCCAGAGCAAACTTTTATCTTGATCAGAAAGCTCGAAACAAAATTTGGTCGACAACGCCGAAACACCCAATTTTGGTCGAGATGGTCGCATGATAAATGTCACATCATTACGAGGCCAAACTGTGCATTGTAAACGGATTCCGAAACAAGCCAAAATAAGATTTGTCGCGAAAACCGCAACCTTGCTACTTTTCTTTGGTCTTCTTTGCTGTTTTGGATTCCACAAACAAATAATTAAAATTTTGTACCGCTCAAAATCGCTCCAAAAATAGCCGTAAGTAGACAACCGAGTGTTCATACTCGTCAGTACAGAGACAAATACCGTATTAACCAATCACAAAAAAAACAGGAGGAAAATAACTAGCTTCATATTTATTTAATTCGTAAGTTTGCTTTCTTGTCTTGAATCTGATTGGTTGATAAATTGTTTATCTTCTTTCTGATGAGTATGGATAAGTGGTTATTTAGTTACAGACCTCACTCATTGGGGCTTAAAATGAGGTCAATGAAGATTCACTTGTCTTTGCAATGTCTTATAACTCAGTTGAAGCGTACATGGGATAAATGTTGCCTGGTCAAGGTTTTCTTAGCTGCAGAGATCTGAAATTATTTCAGTTTGGTTAAAACTGTCGAAACTAAAAAAACTTCAAAATTTTCCCCTGCAATATATTCAAGGAAAATGCACGTTTTGCTTTGATTAAATAAATGTATAAAAGAAAAATAGTATGATAGCAGCTCAAATCCAAGAGCAGAGCAAACAAAAACTGATTGTACAAAACAAAACGAAATTGCAACTGTAACTGCAACTCAAACACTAAAAACTGACTCATTTTTCCGCCACTGATTGCAAGCAGTAGTCGTTGAAGTAAAAGATAAACATTTGAGAAGAATTAAAAAGATAGGTGACTCCTTAAGTCTTTGAGATCTATGGTTTAACGGGTTACGAAAAAAATTTTAAGTGAAAGTTTTAACTTTGGACGAGAATCAACAAAAAGTGAAAAATCCAATTTGAAAGAATTAGTTATCCAGTTCTCAGCTCTCAGAATCGCCTGTTAAAACTTTAAATTATTTTTGATGTCAATAATTAGAAATCAACTGAAAAATTATCAGAAGCCAGCTGCTACATCAGCAGAAACCAAGTAGAACGAACACATATGCTTGCACTTGTCAGAGCAAGTGTAGCGTAATCGCAAACTAGGTTTTTTTCTCGTATACAATTTCTTATGAAATCTTAAAAAATTAGGGGTTCGTCTCCACCTGGCCTAGAGGTAAGGTGGTCGCCTTTTGGACCCTAATGTCTGAGGTTCAAGTCCCTACCGAACCTTGCTTTCTTCAGTTTGAAAGAAAGTGAAATTTTTTACGGCAACAGTTGAATTTCTGGACTTTGGTTTATCTGCTCAGACTTTGACGGCTTCATGCTTTTTTCGTTTGAGTTGAAAATGTTGTTTTTTGTAGTTTCAGGTAGGATTTAAATTTTTTTCACAATCATTTTCTGGGCTCAAATGGCGTCTGCTCAAAAATTGACGGCAACTTTGTGTCCGCTTGGTTAATTTTGTCCCTTTCGAAGTCAATTCTTAAATTTTTTGCTCGGCGTAAGTTTATTTAAGAGTTCTTTTGCGAAATTATAAAAATTTTTGAGTTTACAAAAATTCTGGTTGATATAGTTTTTTTGTCAAAAATTTTCATTTTTTTGTTCTTTTTTGTTTGTATCGCAAGAGCGCAGAGCGTCGCTTCTGCTTATATGTTTGCTTACATTTTAATAATGATAAAGGCAGCCTCAGAGAAGTCAAAAATAATCAAAAAACAGTTCGACACAGTCGAAACACACGTCAAGCTTTTAGGAGTTATAAATCAAGTTGTCAAACAGTTCAAAGTCTTAGACAAAAAATTGTTGTCTGTATTAGCCAATTAAAAGAATTTGCAAAAACTTCCAATCGGTTTTTCCTCTTTTTTGAGAATTTTTCCGCAAATCACGACTCAAAAGTCTTTAATACGTCGTCTCACTGATCCCATTTGATGTTTTTACGTCAACTGATTTTTTTGTCCAACATAGTCCAGATTTCTAAACAAAAGCGATTTAAGTGTAATTTTGGCGGAGCCGTAGAGTAAGAAGTTTTGCTGATTCGAGCTAATACGGGCATTTTTTTGTTTGGTCGAAACAAAACGAGACTGTCGAAACTTACCCAAAATCGGTCCAACTGGTCAACACATATCTGATTTGAGCCGAGCAAAATTGAGCAAGCAGCTTTTTTTGGTCAAGAAATTCGGAAAATACCAACATTTGGTTGAAAATGTTGAAACATACCCAATATTTTTCAGACATGGTCGCAGCATAAGTCGAGCACCTCGCCCTGTGTTCGATGATTTGACGGCCTCTCTTATTCTATCAAGAAGTCGCACATTTTTTCCAATCTAAAGCTCACAATTTCTCTTCGACGGCAAACTTTAAATTGTGAAACCGGCATCGGAGCTCCATGAATAAAAATCGATAATAATTGAGTTTTATTGTCAATATCCACAAAAAAAGAAAAAAATCTATTATAACAATTAAAAATAGATTAGAATATTAATAATTTTCGAGGCATCACCATCCATTTTAATCTATTATAATCATTTTTTTTTGAATCTTGACAATGAAACTCAATTATAATCGATGTGTTTTCTCCTTATTGAGATGCAATTTCAACGCACATGGAATCTTTTCTACTTTTTAAACTGAAATTGGTTACTTTTTCAATTTATTTTTTTTCTGCGCGGCTTTGATATTTTTGTTACTTTCTATGTTACTCAATAACTGAATTTTGTTCCTTTCAACAATTTTCTTTTACTTTTACAATATTCGGGGGTAAAGGTAAAATTGGAGGTGGACTAATCCCCCTTCAATAACATCCCCTTTTGCCACCTTATGCCCCCCAACTTTTGGTTCACAGCCCCCACCCTCTGCCACACGAACTCCAACTAAGCCAAAATCCCCTCACCCACCCTGTCTTAAGTGGTGAGGGGCGTTCAGGGGGGTGAGGGGTTTCAGTTCAGGTGGTGGCGGAGTTGGGGTGGTGTTTTAGGTGGTGATGTCTTAGGTGGTCAGACAGTGGAGAGGCAAACGCTGGGATGCGGGGCTGTAAGGGAGCAAAGGGACAAAAGTTTGCGGGGAGAGGTTCAGAGAATATTTTTGCAATTTGAGTTTAGGTTTAGAAATGGAGTAGGCCGTACGTACACTTGCTTTGCAAAGTTTCCGCATTACTCAGTTGATAATTGCAAAATTCTTGCAAAATTTTGCACGATGCAAAACAAAAATCAAATGAAAAAAAATCCAGTTTAATGTGATTTTTTAATCATTATATAATCCATTATTATGGATTTCAAAATAATAATAATGCAATGTTTTAGCAAAAAAAATGGATTCAAATCCATTTTTAACCAATTCCGTTGTCTGAGTATAACATGAGAATCGGTTATATTGACAATGTTCTAGACCAGGGGCGGATTTAGGGGGGGAAAGGGGGCGGACGTCCCCCCCCCCCCTCAGGGATTCGACACCCTGCCGACCCAAAGGGTCCCCCTTTGATACTTTTTCAGAAATCCATTTTTGGCCGACCGACCCTAAAATTTTTCTAGAGTCGCCTTCGGCGCCAATATATACTAACTTTGAGGGGGACCGCGCGCCAAAAAAAACGCGGTTTTTTTGTCAAAATTTTTCAAAAAGTGCCCAAAAACGGCTTTTTTGACTGTTTTTTCAAAAATTTGCCTGCGGCTCAGAAAATTTAGCCAAAATAGGGGCAAAACAGTGTTTTGGGCGAGCTCGAAAAATCAATTTGGTCGAGCTAAAAAAAAGGTCGTCAAAATTTTGGAAAATTTTTTGAAAATCCGCCCCCCCCCCCCCCTCGAGAAAATAGACCACGAAAATCCATTATAATCGATCTTTTCTTTTTTCTTAACGGGCTCGGATAGTCCGTTTTTATTTAATGAATGTTATACGAACTAATTAGTTTTGTCCTCTTGTGTGTGGTGGAATGAAAATTATAAAATAAACCAAGATTGTATTTCAATTTTTAGTTTTTGCCAGTTGGTTGAGATTTGAGCACTTTCTTTTTTAAATTTGAACAGTAAAGATCGAAGAATTTGATGCTGTTTTTCCAAGCAAGACTTTAATTGCCGAAAATCATAACAACCAAAAAGCGTGAAATTAATTTTTATCAGTGAAAGTTCTTGGTTGAGCGAGGAAAAGGGGTTGTCTGAGAAAAAATACCTTATTTTATTGCCCGTTTTCGATTTAGATTGCAACAAGACTGGGGCAAATAAGTTGTCTCTGCCTCAGAGTTCCCTCGCAGTACTGCTGAGTCACTCCAAGACCAACACTAGACACAACACTTATGTGCAGGCGGATGACGTCACAAATGTGGATCATCAGTTTTCGGATTACAGGTATCCTGACACTCCGCTCTAATTATTTGCATTTCAAGCTTTCGCGACAGTGGTTACTCTTTCGTGAATCTATGCCCAGGCTTTGCTTTTGCGATTTAAAATTATATTATAAACGTTCTTATGCAATTGCGAATGTAGGATTTTCTCGAGGGAGGTTGAAAAAATTTTCGCGGCCTAATTTATTTCCTAAATTTTCCAAAAACATGGACGCTATTTTGACCAAATTTTGACCCGCCGGCAATTTTCTACTGGAGTGGCAAGCTTTTTGGGCTTTTTTGGCATTTTTGTCAGCGTCGGCTCACCTTCAAATTAAGTATACATCGACGCCAAAAGCGCCTTTAGAAATGTTGGTAGGCGCAAAATAGTACCAAAAAGGGGACTCATAGAGGCTTGAATCCCAGAGGAAGCAACACCCGCCTCATACCTAAAACCGGAACTCAATAAGATTGATTTCGATTTTTCGTTGATATTTTCCAGGTTGTTCAAAATGGAACCCTTCCTAGATAAACTTGACAGATTCAGTGGAAGACAACTACATGATCATGCTGACATCTTTCTTCCAAAAAAAGGATGCCCTTCCGGGTAAAGCTTTATAATGTTCTTGATCTAGATGAGAATCTAGGAAATAATTGATTCACCCTCCTTTTCGTATAGGTCGGCCGAAGAGTTTTCTTTATTGCCCAAAACTCATGTCTTAGAGTAATACCAGAGGTGGAAAACTGCAGGCCAATGATTCGGCATGGCGACTATTCGTCGCAAGTGAAAATTAGTCGCAAGTGACTATTCGTAGCAAATGTAAAAAGCGATCATTCGCAGCACGAGACGATGCGAAGCAGGCAATAATTAGTAGCCGTAAAAACTTTTATCAGATCTGAGAAAAACTTAAAAGAAAGTGTTAAATTAAATAATAAAGAAACTAACTATCAAAATTAAATGAGAGGCCCTCAACTTGCTGAGTTTTTTGTTTTTGCTATATTGTAAAAGGAGTTCAACTAATCCGACTGGATTTTTTTTTGCATTTTGCCACCTTGGCGGCACTTTCTCAGGATGTTATTCTCACCAATTTGTTCGCCGTCTGACTTTGTTCTTCTTGCAAGGACTGGATGAATTTACGAACACAACAATTCCATCTGGAAAACCCTATGCCATCCCTTGACCAAAATGTTGGTTTTCTGTCTTCCATTCTGGCATTTTCGAACTGATTTCAGAGTGAAATAATGAAATGCCCAATTCCCATGCGACCTCGGAAAATGGTTTTGACCCAAATCAATTCAAAGACATCGAAGTTATCCGATAAAGGCGACTCGTCAATTTTGTCGGAAATCTTACAACGTAAAGCAGCCATGCCGATTTCCCTGTCGACCTCAGCTGCTAATGCCAGAGAAACGAATGATTTTAGAAGCATGCGTGTTTTTTGTCGATAAACTGGTGCTAATCTGAATTGTGCCCTAATTGTCCTGAGCAAAACTTAAGAAGCATCGTTTCATAGTTACTCCATTGAATACCTTCTGAAGCACGTTAACTGAAGTCTTCTCAAATTCTAAATGTCCCATCTGCGTGCCAGACTATGTTGCTTTGCAAAATTTCTAAGTGCTCGTCGGTGGCAAATATAAATACTCGGCCTTTGTCATGCGACCCAAGTCAAAAAGGCGAAAGTCATCCCCTCTCAAGGTCTGGCTTAACTCCAAAAGCACGGCAATGGTTTTTATTCATGTGGGGCGGAATCAGTTGCGCGTTGCCGTTGAAAATTTCTGGCGAGTGACTTGTACTTAGGCAAAACAACAATTGTCTCGAGGCTGATATACCAAGAATTTTCAACGTAAACGATTCTGGGAGGCTCCAATATTGTTTTCCTTTCTGTTTGATAGCACGTTCAATCCTCAAAATTTACAGTTTTATAACAAGTCAACAAAAATTTTTTGATCCAACCAAAAAGAATATCTCCTCGTTCTTTACGAGGCTAAACTGTGCTCTTGATGGGCAGGAGCACAATTTGGTGTCTGTTTGTTCCTAGCATCCAGAGACAAGTTTTAAACTATGCTCATTTTTCGTCGCACTGATCAAAAGAAAACAAAACTTTAAAAGAAGAACAAATAGAGCGTCTTTATTGCGGAATCCATAAATAGTTTGGCTTGGTAATGCAGTTCGAGTGATTCAAATAACGCTCCGCTGCCTGTGGTCAGTTTTTCACCACAGAATTGCTTTTCTTGCACTCATGCTAATTTAGCGTCTTGGAAGAAACTTAAGTCAGAAAAGTGTTAATTTTGAAAATTTAGGTTCGTGCATGTGTCAAAATTTACTCCGTTTTTGCACTTCTTTTTTGCATGGAAAATTTTGTGGGCACGTTCTCCGGATATGCTGACTAATTCATCTGCAATGGTGACCACAGAAGCTTTGTACTGTCTCTTCTCGCATAAACAACTGGATTTCTTAGTGGTATTGTTGTGGCGGTTAATATTTAAAGTTTCTCCAACGTGGACAAGTTGCTGTTTTCCCTCGCTCGCTCATGAAAAAATCTTAAAAAATTTTGATATAAACAAGTTCAATGTTTTGCAAGACAAATAAAGCGAAAAGAATGAATCGAAAAAAAAAGTGATTTTGACGCTACTTACGTTCAATTACTCTTATTTTAGTGCTAAATTGTTTCAGTTTTGCATTCAATTCAAAACAATGCTATATTACAAGTTTTGATCGCTCGCTGGTTGTCAAACTCCGATAATCAACTCAAAGCATTTTTGCTTAGTTCGAATCGTTTATTAATCCCCAATTAGCAATTAATCGTGCTGCTAATTGTTGCTTGCTAATTGCGCTGCTAATAGCAGTTAATCATGCTGCTAATTGCTACGAACTGACGCTTGGTAAAAATTGTCGCTTTTTAAAATTGCTGCGAATCGTCGCTGGCAATCAATCGTCGCTTTCAACGAATTGTCACTTGACGCAAAGACTCGAACTCTTGAAGCTCCTGTCGGTGGGTAGCGTCGACACCTGAACCCATCCCTGGTAAACGCAACACGTATGCGAGCATTAGTTCTTTATTTGACCAAGACACCAACGTTTGTTAAGATTTAAAAACTAAGTGTGAGAAACTAGTTGCCAATAAAACAAATAAAATTACTAATATAGACCCCATTTCTGCTCTTGATTTTATATCCAAAATATTCAATGAAAAGGTTTAATTTTATGACAAGTCAAATATGTGTTTTTGTTCATAAAATTGTAGAAAGTATATGCAAGTGCAACTCAGTTTGTGCGACCTCAACATGCACGAAAAGTTTTGAAGAACAAGTTAGTCAACCTGTCTTCTCCTACGTTTTTGTTACTCAAATAACTTCAAAGGCATCTTCTTCATTTATGCCCATGGCCTTTTCTCTGACTTTACTTATTATTTCCTCTCTACGCTGCGCACTTTCATGTTCAAAAAGATATTATTAAGTCAGTTCATAGCAAACTGCGTCATTAAGCTCATATTAGACTTTGATTTCACTAAAATGTTAACGTATACAATTTCGTTAGGAGGAATAAAAACGAAAAATATTTATTAATTACAGGGATGGTGAACCTAGGATTTTTCCGACGGGAGCCGATGTTCAAATTTTTATGGTCGTTTCTAGGTCAATTAAATTGGTTTTGTGAGCACTTCCACAACACTAAAAAGACTCTATTTCGACCAAAAGCTCTACGTGCAGACAAAAATTTCAAACAACAAACTAAAAAGGTAGAAGAGTTTGGCCAAATTAAAATATATTGGCTCAAAAGGAGACTTTAGAAAGTTTTTAGGGTCAATTGGTCAAGATTGGATGTCGTAAAATTGTACCAAAGGGCACCCTAAGGTGAAGGAGTCGAATTCCTGAGTCGGGAGGTGAGCGCCTTGTTTTTTCAGTTTTCAGTCAACGGGTTGCGTGAGCGGCAATAATTAATCTGGATAAGAACTCGCTCCATATTGAATTGAAGTAAGCTAATTACTCCAAATAACTCACAATCAGAACGAAATTATATCAATTTGCAGTAAAAACTAAATTCAGGGTAAAGATATGCACAAAAAAAAAGATTTTTAAAAATTTTTCCTCGGCTTTAGAAAAAAGTAGCAAAGAATATATGTTTTTTTATTCAGACGAGTTTTGATGATTAAAATAATTACGCTTGCAATTAGCAAGCGTTATCAACTCGAAATGTAGGCTTTTTAACGGGTTAACAATAAAATCTTTTCAACCATTTTACCTTTGGTTCATATGAAGTCAAAATTCAGAGGGTATTTCTTCGCTTTTGGTGTAGAGTTAATGCAGTTTCCTTTGAAACCTTACGTTAGGGGTTCCAGTCCCGATTGGATGTTGTTTTTTTTCAGCGTCTGAAATATTTTTTGCGGGAAATTTTTTCTCATTTTAGTTTGTCGGCTTAGATGCCACCCGAAAGTTTTGACAAACTTTAAAGGCATACTGGTATCAGTAAGTGTAATGACTTGCAAGATAATTAAAGCGAAACTAATGAATCAAAACAAAGGTGATTTTGATGCTATTTACGTTAAATTACTCTTATTTTTACTGTTAACTCATTTCAATTTGGCATGTAATTGAAACTGACGCTAAATTGAAAAATTTTGATCGCTCGCTGAATTTTAACCCCCAAGAACCAACGCAAAACATTTTTGTAAAATGTTTATTAATACCAAAATTAGCAATTAATTGTGCTGCTATTTGTTGCTTGCTAGAAAAAGGCGAGTAATGCGAGTTGACGCCTTTTAATTTTGCTGCGAATTGTCGCTTGCAATCAATCGTCGCTTGCAAAGAATTGTCACCTCACGCAAAGACTCGAAATCTTCACGCTCCGACGGCGGGTAGCGTCGACCTCTGAACCCATTCCTGGTAATCGCAACACGTATGCTTGCGTTAGTTCTTTATTTGACTAAGACACAAACGTTTGTCTTTTCTAGGAATAATTGTAGCTGAGATTTGAAAAATAAGTGTGAGACCAGAAATAAGATGCAGACAAAAAAATGAAATTACTTATTTAAACCTTATCTTTTTCTCTTGATTTTCTTGCCAAAAGATTAATGAAAAGATTTATTGTTATAATTAATCAAAATGTGTGTAGATGATAAAAATTGTAGAAGGTATAAGCAAGTTCAGCACAGTTTGTGCGACCTCAACAAGCATGAATTGTGTTTAAGAACAACCCGTACCAATCATTTTATGCAAAATCAGATCAGTTCATCTTTTCCACAAATACCAGGTACTCAGAAGGTTTGAACATACATAAACCAGTCCAGCGCATGTCTGCAAATTAATAGATTTGGTAAAAATTTTCCCATAGACATGACCAGATCTACCTCAGGTCTGATCATACATGCTAATGTTTCTGATTATTAGACGTTTACGGGAAAAGAAATTATCTAAAAATTGGCTAATCAAAACGCCATAGTTGATAATGAAAAAATGCTTACATGTAATTAGTTTTTGTGTTTTGTAAAAAAGTACGGTATTTGTTATTGAATTCGATTCTCATTTTGTTTCAGACTGTTTTAGTTGCCGCCTATACGCTCTGCGCCAATAGAGCTTCGATTTTTGTTTTTTATTGCAGCTGAGCATCTTTGTACTTATTCCCGCGCCTCCCTTGTTTCAAAAGGGGGACATTCTTTCGAAAATTTGTTCAAAGTGGCTGATGTTCAAAAAATGTCAAAAACTTGTCAGCCCTTTCTTAGGTAGACCAAGTTGATTTTTGTGTCCTCTCGCAACTCCTTATAAAAAACAGGACAAAAAAAGGGGTTTTTTGGCACTTTTTGAAGAAGTTTATTTTAAAAAATCAAGATTTTTTTGGCGCACGCACCTCCGCTAAAATTTTGTTTGTATTGGCGCCGAAAGTGTCTTTAAAAAACTTAAGGGTTAGTCAACCAAAAACGAATGTCTCAAAATTGCTTAAAGGGGGCGTACTTTGGGTTGGTAGGGGTCGAATTCCTGAGGAGGAGGGGCGCGTAAGAATTTTACTTCCACCACAAATAATCAGTCATGTTTTTCAAAAGCTATAAAAAGAAGATTTATCAGAAGATCGTTTTTGAACTTTTCCTTTTCTAAAAACCAGTTTGAACATGTTTCATTGTGACAGTAAAAATTTTCAGGTTCTGGTCAGCCCTATTTCTGATCTGAATTAGATCTGAATCATATCTCAATCAGCAATGAATTGTGTCTTGAAACTTGAAACTTTTTTTTATATATGATGCCAAAATTGTACCTCGAATTAATTATTGGTGGATCAAAAACTGATTATTTTCGTTAATTTTTTTGTTGCTATAATTTAACAAGACTGCTCGTATCAGGGCGAAGCCCTGAATGTTCCGACTGCCTTTTAAGGTTTATGGAGCAGCAGTAATAAAATAAAAAATTAAATGAAATAAAACAAAATGAAAATTTTTTTTCTAAAATTTGAAATTTTTTTTATAAAAATCATCCCCCACACGCCATATAAAGTACAAAAAGATAGATTTCGTTCCTTGTAACAAATCATATATGGCAAATAAGCTTAGTTCAACCAATTTGGAACGATTTATAAGACGGATTAGATTAAATCTCCGCTTACGCGTTAATAGCAGCCAACAGTCCAAAGTTTTCCGCTTGAGACAGATATTTAAAACAAGAACTCTTGATCTTATTGATCAAAAAATTGAAAATGCGGGCTCTCAAATTGTCAAATTGTGCAGATTATTTGCGAATTGTTCTTGTTTTTTATAGAAAAAAAGTCAAACGTTTTTTTTCTGGTTTTATCTCAGCGCCATGAAAAGGCCGATTTTATTTTGTTTCACAGATAGAATTAGTGCCTTCCAGGGGTACCAGGAGATGCCAAATATGAAGTGTAATCCCGTGCATAAGAACTTGCTAAATATACTTTAATTTCTTAGTCAGTGTAAAATTTACCAATAAAAATTATGTTGACATATTTCTATAAGGAAAGAAAGTTCGGAAAGTATGCTTTTTTCAGCATCAAAGTAGCCTCAAGCTTTATCGGTCATAAACATTACAGAGTCATGGTTTTCAAAATATACGTCTTAGGCGGAAAATCTTGGATCCTCGGTTGCAACAAGCGGTTGGGTGCTCTCACATTTTGCACCACTTGATTTGGTAGACCAATTGCTTCCTTCCACGCTAACAGCGCTAGCAGATTGTCCTGGCACGCAAGGCTGCTTTTTGCCGCTAAAAGTAACATCTAGAAAAATCTTTCAAAAATAGGCTAACTTGAGAGGCGGCTACCCTGGAAGATCTTACTACATTTTTCAAAAACATTCATCATTTTTTAAAGAATTTGGCAAAACTCTTGCAAAATCTTGCGAGATATTTCTTCTTGGTCGACTAAGGTGGTGTTGCTGTTAAAAAGAAAAAATTCACACCTATTTTTTTCAAATTTTTTCAGAACTACTAAGGAAAAAGTACATATTGAAGGTGACGAATCAGTTGAAATATCGGATGTTGATTCTGTGGAGAAACGGATGAATGTCTCTCAGCTGATCAACCGCTTTGAATACATTCAACATTCCCAAGAGAACAGAAGCAACAGCGACTTCTGGAAGTACCGCGAGAATAAAGCGGCGGCTGTGAAAGCGTCTGTGAACAGAGCCAGACATCACAGCTACAGCTCCGGTCGGTGTCTTCTCGACCAATTCGCTGGCTACCTAAGAGCCCCACACATAATTTTTATTAAAAATAGATCCGGCTGTATGTTGATACCCAATAAGTTGTTTCTTGCTTGCTTCGCATTTGCAAAGTAAGATTTTAATAAGATGCTATTACGAAAACTATTTTTTGAAAAATTATCCTATTGTTTGGTTACCATGTTCCAACTCTTCTATCAAATGAAGTTTTAGGTGCAGTGATAAGCCATGCTCCGGGTCAGAATAAAAGACGGCAGTTCGAGTCCAACATGAAACCTTCAAAGAGTTATCAAAACCCAATGGACGCTTCTCATATGTATAGCAGTGATACTCCTCGCCAGTTTACTAAGTAGGCACATCACTGAACATATTCAGAGACTTCATTAAAGTTTCATCATTTGAGACAGAGCAGCGGAGTGAAAATTGTAATACATTTGTTTCTATAATTTGAAGAAGGGTGAAAGAGCTGTTTTAGGTCGCCAAGTAGGGACACAAATGAGTCTACTAGAATAAGAATGGTCAGTTTTACGACTTGATTTATGGATACTTTATGGTGATTATGTCAATAAATTGTTTCTTGCTTTCAGGCAGGCATGCTGAACAAGCAATCAAAGTTTACTCGGGACCCAAGAGGATTTTACTACGCGACTCTAGTATAACGCCCACACTACCAGCCAAATATAAAATTGCTTTCAAAAAATGTAATAAAATTTTACTTTGAAGAAGCAGCCTAAAATTTAACATCGATTTTTTGTTTTTATTCAACTAATTTGTCCCTTAAAATCTAAATTAACACCTTTCATTCACGACATTCATTTTAAAAAACCAATCATCAAGCTCTTGATTTTTTGGTGGACTATCTGCTTGAAATTATGTTGGTTCAGGCAGCAAACGAGCTTCTAGGAAATTATATGACCCGCCGGGCAAAAATGGTTGCTGTAAAATTGTACAGAAAACGTACTGAAGTGGGGTACATTATCTTTACTAAAAACACGATTGAAATCAAGTACTTCCGAAAAATCCTTGTTTTCGTTTGGAACAGTTGGTATATCTGAAATTATTTCCTTCGGCAGAGAGGGGGTGTTACAGCTTGCCAATTGGCGTTCCAGCGGTTATATTTTGATGTTAAAGTAAAACTGCGAATGCTACCATTACTGCGTGTCCATTTATAATATTTATTTGTATTCAAAAAAGCCTAAAAAATTGAGATATGATAGTTATAAATAACTAATAGAAGCTAATTTTTTTTGTAAATTGCAAGTGATCTATGAAAAAACTTCTAGTGTTAAGAAAAATTGTATAATTTTTTTTAAATTCCGGATATTGTTATTCTGAGTTTTTTGTTCGCAAATTTTTTTGAAGCTTTTTTAGTCAATATCATTGAGTCTTATTGAGCACTCTGAAATCCCAATTTTGCCAGAGTAGCAATCGAGAACCTTTGCGCACATGTTGAGACACTTTTCAAAAACAAGTATTAATTTTTCATCAGGTTTCTGAATAAAGAGTACTTAGACAATGACTGTTCAAAAAATGAATACACCTTTTATCCACATTAAAACTTTTGTGGGTTGAAATCTTGTGTTCCAATTTGTACAGTAATCTAGTCTTTATTTGGCAATTTCCATTAGTATTTGCTATATCCGCCTTTTTGAGGTGCATTGAAGGCTGCCTGCTAATTGTCCGACTTAAGTGGCAACTTTTTTTCTGATGAATTATTGCGTTCAATCTTTAAAAATAATTTTGTTTCTTTTTGGTGAGCGCAAAACTTGCATTTGCTATATCCGTTTTCTAAGGCATATTGATGGCTGCCTTGTATTTGCTTTTTGCATTTGCTGTATCGGATTTTTTATGGAGCGTTCATAATTATGGCAGCTTGGTAATTGTACAGACTTTTGAAGACAAAAAAATAAGACTGCTTGTATTAGGGCAAAACCCTGAATGTTCCGATTGCCTTTTAAGGTCTCTGGAGCCGTAGAAACATGAAAAAAACTTAATATAAGAAAATAAAATGATTTTTTTTGTAAAAATCATCACCCCACTCGCCATATTAAGTACAAAGTGATAGATTTCGCTGCTAGTAACAAATCAATTAAGGCATATAAGCTTGCTTGAACCAATTTGGAACGATTTCTTAGACGGATTAAATCTCGCTTACGCGTTAATAGCGCGAAATATATCGCGCGTTAATTGTCACAAATTGTCCCAAATGGCAATATTTAAACTCCCATAACTTTATAAAAATGATCACTGGTAAAATATTTTTTCAAATTTAAGCTCAGGACAACAATATTTTTCAAATGATGTAGAAACAAATCCGTTAAAAATAGCTAGTTAAATGTCGAAATTTGTTTGAAGAAAAAAAACTACCCCGAGCACAAGTATTCCGTTACTTTCGTTACGAAAGTCGGAACTAAACAATAATTCAAAGACATATTAGAAGAAGAGTGCAAAATTATCAGTTTTTTAATACAGCGTAGAGCAGCAACGAAATAATCCCGCTTAGTAATCTTTCCAACTTATATTGATGTAAACTGATTGATCCAACAGTTTAGTGGTTTTTTATGTGATTGTTAATGAGAAAGATTTGAACATCGCTGTATAAGAAAATTTGGGATGATTTTTTGCGCAAAATTTCTAAATGTTTGTTATCATTCAGTAATTTTGGCAAAAAAATGTTGACTCTTACGTCATTCTAAGCCCAGTTAAAGCAACCTTTTTGTTTCGATTTTCGAAGAAAGTGCGGAATGTTTATGCTTGGCGTAATTTTTTTATGGAGCTCAAATTCAGTCAACTTTTGACATGTTAACTGAGAGCTTATGAAGGAGTTTTTCTTATACCATGAAAGAGGTATTGTTATACTAAGCTCAATATTAAAAAGGTATTTCAACTGTGATCTTTTTTTGTAAAGTTACAGAAATTTGAAAATTGCTAATTTGGCCAGTTTTGGATAATTAAAGTGCAATATATTGCGTACTTATAACACGCTTAAGAAGCGAATTAATGCGTTCCACGTTGAAGTGAGGCAGGCAATTTAATCCTATTATCACAATACGAGATGCTAAACACACCTTTTTATCTCACCAATTCTTTTTATGCAATTTATTTGTCAATTTTTCAACCGAAAATTTTTTCAATGGTTTTAAGTGCAGTCATGAAGTTCAGGGCTTTGTTTTGATATACGAGCAGTCTTGTTGATTTGATTTTTGCGTTCGAAAAAGCACGATGATATGTTCTTACTTGACAATGCATGTATTCTTTCAGACACGCTAAGCGACAATCAAAATGATCAGTTTTTTGTCGTAATTCGGATAATTCTTTCGTGTAAATTTAATCTTTACCTATTGCACTTAGTGAGTAAAACATAATTTTTCAGTTTTTTTTATCGCATGCTTTCTTTTGAGATGACTAGTCACAAAAGTTGTCGTTTTTAACTTTTATTTTGTTTTCTTTTTGTTTAAGTTTTTAAAACCAACAGCAATGTTAACAAGACTGTTCGTATCAGGGCGAAGCTTTGAATTTCCGACTGCTTTTTGAGGTCTATGAAGCAGTAATGACATAAAAAAAAAATTGAATGTAAAAAAAATAAGATGAAAAAAAAAATGTTTTATAAAAACTTGAGATATTTTGTTAAAATTATCCCCCCACACGCCATATAAAGTACAAAGTGCTTCCAGTAACACATCAATTATGGCAAATAAGCTTCTTTCAACCAATTTGGGTTGATATCTAAGACGGATTAAATTTCCGCTTACGCGTTAATAGCGCGAAATATATCGCGCGTTAATTGTCCCAAATTGGCCAAAATGCCAATCTTTAAACCCCCATAACTTTAGGAAAAATAATCACAGGTGAAATATCTTTTCAAATTTAAGCTCAGGGCAACAATACCTTTAGAATGAAATTTCAAAAAATCCGTCAAAAATGGCTAGTTAAAAAGTCGAATTTTGTCTGAAGAAAAAAAACCCACTCCGAGCACAAATATTCCGTTACTTTCGTATCAAAAGTCGGAACTATAACAGTCAAATCATTGCAAACTTCGGGTTTTTTTTTGAAATAAGATTTGTTTTCCATGTGAATATCTTCATTTTGTGAGAGGAGAATTTTCAAAAAAATTGAAAACTTTGTCAACGCGTTCTTAAGTCGATCGATATATTTCTGAGAGCTCTACGCAGATATTGAAAAAATCATTTTTCGCTGCAGGCTATAGAAACAGGACTAAATTGTCTTTTCTGTGCATTTTTTGGAAAATTTGAAACTTAATTAGCATTATTTGATGCGCATCTACCAAAATTTTGCATGTAATTTTGCCAAAGTTACTTTTAAAATTGTTTCTGGGTTAGTCGGCAAAATTGGTGGTCATAAAAAGTATCTTCATTATCTATCATCGACTCGTTTGCACTATAGCCGACCTTGGTCGACTCAGATATCCAACTTGATCGACTCGTGTAGTCTCGCCAGTCCTTTTCCCAATATTCACAACAGCTCTCTTCGTTAAAACTAAATTAACGCTGCCCGAAAATTATTGTGTGAAATCAATGCTTTTATCTAAAATTTCAATTGTTGACTCTTTTTTGTCAAGCTAAAAAGTAGCCATATTTGAACCAAAAATTGATTGAGTATGAACTCAGCTCAGAGCTTACTTGACCATTTCGGCTTGTTGTTTGTTCCCAAAGGGAATAAAAATTACCTCGTTTTCCACGAAAATTATGTACAACAGAAACGCTTCATACGAGGTCGTTTCATACGATGTCAGATAATCATTGTTCCGACCCATTAAAAATGTGGAGGAACTTTGAATGGGTGTGTGTATGGTTGGTGTGTTTTGTTTTCCACGCAAAGTCAGGTACCACAAATAATCATTGGAATGATTCAAGTTATATATAATATTAAAGCCTTCTCAGTCGTGATCCGAACGACCTTTTAAAACTTTTCTCAGTGTCGAGAAAAACCGGTTGGAAACTTTTGATTTTTGTCTAATTTTGAATTGAAAACGTTTGTCAGAATAAGGTTTGCAGACTTACAATAGCAGCTTATTTAAGCTTAATTTAGGCAGCAAACCCTTCCTTTTTCTGGAGTAATTTCAGTTTTTGAAATATTTTAGCGCCACTCTTTGCATCAAAAATTCCAATATTTTCTGCAAAAAAAAAACAATTTTTTTTTTAACAATTTTTCTTTTTTTGATATTTTTCTACAGAAACTGTTTTCCAATTGGCCCATTTGACTCTGACTTTCGAATCAACCTTAAATCAATTTTTTTTGTTTAGATCTTAGAATCACACAATACAGAAAAAACTACACAAATTTGAAGAAAAAAATTGTGTTTTTCAAAGACTATGATTGGAACATTCTGTGATATTTGCACAGTAACTGGCTATCCTTCTTATAATTATAAGAATTTTTCTGAAGAATTTTTTAAACCCGGTTTATTGTATGAGCGTTCAGTAAAAAAGACTCAAAGTTCAATGTCTAAATAGGGTTCTTAAGAGGAGTAATTATTTACTTGAATTACCCAAATAACCCGTTGGGACCCGTTTAATTTAGTACCCTCAGTATAGTCGAAAGTTAGTATTGGTTTTAATTGTCGGTGAAAATGGCCAACCTCACTCTCATTTGGGTTTTTTGTTTGTAATACGTACATTATTTTTGCCAATTTGATATGGTCAAAAAAAATTGACAAACTATTTACCATCTGGAGCAACGGCCTTGTAGGAAAGAACGAGTCATAAAGAAATGGTGTTTTTTGAATCCGTCGGAGACTGT